TTTTTATTTTGAACAAATGACCATAATTTCGTTGGATCAGTTGAGAGGTTATTTTCCGCGTCAATTATGAATTTCTTGTAAGCTGTATCGATTAGATTTTTAGACAATGATCTCAACCGTTTAAATTTATTAAAAAAGAACAACGTACCATACCTTTTATATAATCTATGAGGTTTGGTTTTACGTTTTAAAACCCTTATTATTTGTGGAGAATACCAAGAAGGATAACGATTTTTACTTTGAGCTTTACTAACATGACGCAATGGTACAGTAATATCAAATATTTCATAGACAGTTTTGTAGAAAAGTTCACATGCCTCAGTAGGATTAGTAGATTCTAAAATGGGGCTCCAGTCAGCGTATAGGAATAGGTTGTACATGCGTGCATAATCAGCCTTTTTAAAATTATATGAAGGATGGCTGTTATTAATTGCAAATTTAGCCTGAGAATGGAATACTTTAAAAAGAAACTGAAGAGCAGGATGATAGGGATCTTCCTTTACAGCAGGATCAGCGCGTAGTACTGAAAAACAATCTATATTGGAGAATACTAGGTCCAAAGAGACATTCAAACAATTGAGTATGTTGTTGTGTTGCGTTAGATTTAAAAAATTTGCATAGTTGTCTAGCGATAAGCATTTAGTGATGTTGGAATCATTACTACCATATTTGGCAACGTTAAAGTCACCCATGATTAAAGTATTCTTATTACACATACAATCTAATACCGCAAGATCCTCCAGAAATTGATCCAGCTCATATGATGAAATATTGGGGGGTACATAAATCACAAAAACATACAAAACACCGCTAGAAAGCGATAATTGACAACCAACTATATCAATAGAGCTAAAAGAATTTCTTAAACCTATAAGATCGAGTGGTGTAGCACAAACACGGTTCGTAACTGCCAACAGAGCGCCACCACCCTTTGAAACACCTAACGCCTGTACATTGCGGTCGCATCTAAGTACAAGATAATTGTGATTAAATAGTTCAGAACTATTAACAGAAGGTTTTAACCATGTTTCTGTCAGTCCGATGAGGTCATAGTCAGTTGAAGTGGTAAAATTATAAAAATCAGTTATTTTCGTGTTTAAACCACGAACATTTTGGTAGAAACAACTTAAGTTCATATAATTTAAAGAAACATCACGGGAGTTATCGTGAGATATTGAGTCACTACGAGAATCCACACTTATGCACTCTTGGTTGGGTCTTCTAAAAAAGTTTTACTACTAAAATTAAAGCGTCTCACTATAATTCCCTCTGGCCAAAAGTCTTCCTTAAGTAAATTATCTTTGTAGATAAATTTAACTCCTATTCTGAACGACTGAAATGTTCCTTTCGTTGGTAATTTATCAACTATCACATCTTCTGAGGAAAGTTTTTCACAAATATAAGTTTTTATTTCGTTAATGTTAGTGTCATTGTCCACCTTACCCACATAGTACCACGCCCTTTTTACGTACGAAGATTTAAAGCCTGTGTTTACATCGTTGGTTTTAGATATACCGATTATAGTTGGTTGTTTTTTGCTCCTAATTCGTCTTCGTGATTTTTGTTCAATCCAGGGATTCTCATGACTAGTATCTGTATGGTTCTCTTCATCAACCGTTAGAAACCACGGCTCCTTTGTTTGCTGTGTAATGTCAGTTGGTATTTGTTTATTTTTGTTTTTTGGATTTCTTACGGCGACCTTATCTTGACTTTTTATATCAAACCTCGATATTGGTTGCTTGGGTTCGTTTTTATGGGCAACACTCCCGTACGTATCCTCTGGATCCATGAGGTTCTTCTTAGGTAATGCTACAGCTTCCTCCTTCCGGTTGCTGACTTTTTTCTTGTCGTTTGTGAATAATCGAATTAGCTCAATATTAGAATCTTTTAGGATTCGTACTTCCTCACGTAACTCTTTGATTTCTTCCAACAGTGGTTGCATTGCACTACATACTCGATTTATTACGATGTCTTCTAGACATACAGGCCTTTCTTTCTGCATTGCGATAAGCGGCTCATTATCATTTTTTGTAGCATTCTCAGCACTATCACAGCACTTAATCTGCGTGTCACTTATGTATTTCACATTTTTCAATAATTTTACACAACTTGGATGGTTAAGGGATCCGCAAACTATGCACTTGAGCCCCGTAACCGGTATTATCTTGCATTTTTTACACGGTATGATAGAGCGATTTGAAAACGCGTCTGCACTCTGCGACATCATGAGCTCACTCATGATGTCGCAGAGCACTGAAAGGACTCTCATGATGTGAGAGTCCTTTCAGTGCTCTCACATCATGAGAGCACTGAAAGGACGAAAAGGACGAAAAGGACGACAAAAAGTGACACAGGACCAAAAAAGAACGAAAAATGGCGGAAAAGAACGAAAAGGACGAAGGACGGAAAAGGAGGAAAAGTACGACAAAGCAGGAAAAGTACGAAAAAGGAGGAAAAGTACGAAAAAGGACTAAAAGGACAAAAAAGGACGAAAAGGCCGAAAAAGGACTAAAAGAACGTAAAGGACGAAAAAGGAACAAAAGAGGGCGAAAATTACGAAAAAGGAGGAAAAAGGACGAGAAACGATGAAAAGGACGAGAAGCTGTGAAAAGGACAAAAAAGGACGAAAGGGACGAAAAAGCACTAAACGGACGAAAACGACGAAAACGATGAAAAAGGACTAAAAGGGCGAAAAAGGACTAAAAGGACGAAAAAGACGAAAAAGAAACAAAAGAGGACGAAAATTACGAAAAAGGACGAAAAAGGACGAAAAGGACGAGAAACGACGAAAAGGACGAGAAGCTGTGAAAAAGGACAAAAAAGGACGAAAGCGACGAAAAAGCACTAAACGGACGAAAAAGGACGCAAACGAAATACTACGAAAACAACGAAAAAGGACGAGAAAGGACGAAAAAGGACGAGAAAAGACGGAAAGAATGAAAAGGACGAAAAGGACAAAAAGAACGAAAAATGACGAAAAAAACGAAAACGGACGAGAAGGACGAGAACGGACGAAAAGGACAAGAGGGACCAAAAGGACGAGAAGCATGAAAAGGACGAGAAATGCTGATAATAATTTAAACATTTTTAAATTCTAAAGTAAAAATAAAGTCAATTACTGAAAATGGGACAGGGTAGGTGGGCGGAGCTAATTAATTATAATCTTCTGTCGACTGAGAATGGAAACTAATAATAAAATTTAGGATATGAAAAAAGTAAAAAAAAAAAACGCTAATTGTACATTTTTTGGAAAAACGCAAAAATTTCCGAAGAAACGAAGCCGAAAATGACTTCTGGATATCGAAATTTACAAGAAAATGTAACTAATTTTAGAAAATAGTTGAAAAGTGGTAGAAAATATCAAAAGTGCCAAAATCTGTCTCATCTTATAAAATACTAGCCGCGCCCAACCGCCCTATATTTTCTTGGAAGTTACGTCATTTACCAAAATCGATCTTATCTTGGCAAGTAATAGCTCCGACCACCACTCCCCTCTTATATTGTAACGACTAATTTTATTTCTGTTTAGTATAAGATCATTCATTTCATTCAGTTCGGATAAAATCAATCACTGAAAAGGAGACAGGGTGGGTGGGCGAGGCAAATTATGTACTTCCGTCGAGTGGGAGTGGAAACTAATAATAGAGTCTAGGATATGAAAAAAGCAAAAAAAGGGCCAATCTTAAATTTCTTTGTTATACTATTCGCTATAAAATATATTTCATATTTCATGCACTTGACCCGACTTGACCTAACGCGATCTGACCTACCCTGACTCCTCATTGCTCCAAATAAACAAATTTTAAACATTTCTGTAAATATTAAAAAACTATAAATTACATTCCTGAAACAATTGTATACTGTAAAACAAAAATTAATAATAATTTCCTTTTTTGGCTACAAAATTTTTATACCGAGCTATTTTGACGAAACTGTAAAAACTGTTATATTTCATTTAGCGATTTTGGAAAAACGGTAGGATTTTCTCAAGAAACGAAGATAAAAATGACTTCTGGATATGGAAATCTACAAGAAAATATTTTCAACTAATTTTCGGAAGCAGTCGAAAAATGATCGAAAATGACAAAAATGCCAAAATCAGTATTATCCACTCAAATTAAACAAATTACTACGTGACATTCTTTCGATGTACAAACATAAACAATCGAAGTTAGGCATGTACACTGATAATAATACATTCTTTTCCGTTGGTTATTTGCTTTGAATACATTTCGTATTGTCTGTATATCGGCGCAGGCGGTTCGATGTGTCATTTACAACCACTGGTTTTTACTAAATATATTAAGGTCATCAGAAAACACAAATTTTCTAGAATTTTTCAAAGAAGCGGAATTTGTTGGATTATACTGCAAGGGCGAAGTCACTTTGGACCATTTTTTAAAATCATACAATTGGTGTGACGACGCGACGCTTTAAAGAATTGTCAGTAAAATTGATTTCTTTCGAAAATATGAAAATGGTGTTACAAATTTGTTTATTACTACTTAATGAACGTTACACAATTTTTGTCGGCACTCGCATCAATAATTTTCTACTGAAAACGAAGCTACACATTAAATTCGTTTGTATTGTATGTACCCACGTTCCGTTTCAACCATACAAATGAACTTTAGCTCTGTCTATTCGTTTGGTATTTTAAGCAAAGTAAAATACTTTATTTCAAGCGGAGCAAACGAAAATTACAACAAACGTAATAGTTGTGCCATGTGCAGTAAAAGACAAAGGCTCCACAAAATCTACATCCTTTCCAGCTTTCCTATAACAAAGCTTTAAGCACCTTTATCCGCCTCCTGCAGCAGAAAATCACAACCCTGAAATAACATCTCCCAAAACCCTCACGGGAGCGGCAATTTTAAACACGAGAAAACACGTGTAGGTCATTCCGTTTGAAATTAACCCTAACAGCAAACCTGCCGGGCGCACATCCAGTTATTGTAGTGTCTTCGTTAATTAAATTAAGCCTCTCCCCTAGGACTTACCGGTCTCGTGGAGTGTATCAGCCGAGACTTCACCTTCGACTTTGACACTCGGCAGGAGCACCGGAGGCTGACTGCGGCCCTTGGCATTTTCAGCATATACCATGATTTGGTACTGTCGTCCCGGTTGGAGATTCTGCAAACGGAACATCGGCTGCTCCCTCAGGATCCGGAACAAAGGCACGAAGTGCTCTCCTTGGTCGCTGAGGGTTGTCACACCTGGCGGCAGGGACGGTATGGTAATGTCGTTAACTTCCATTACAAAACTTTGGTGTAGGCCTCCGTCGTCGCCCGCCACGCACACCACCTCCAGGCCGCCATGTGACGCGTTACGGAGGATGCAATGCTTCGGAGACTCCGGGGCTTCTGAAATGGGAGACAAGTTTTAGTAAGTCGATAAGTTTTGACCCACACATACATTTCAGGAGATTCATTATTTTTTTCACAAAACTGAAAATTTGTTTGTGTTGCACTTAAATATGTCTGAGGAATGTTTCCGGACGCCGTGTCTTTACATTGACTAATAATATGCTATGCATATTATTCTCGAGTCTATTGTTGTCCCCAAACTTCTAAAACACAAGTTTACACACTTTTTCTGTCACGACAAAATCCTAAGTAATCAGATATTAGGTAGACTAGATTATATCAAAATGAAGAGGAAGAGTAAATATTTATCGTAATTTCTATTCTCCCTGGCACGCCGATACTTCTTGACAACTAAGATTATGCTTTCGATTTGAAACTGAGGATAACTCAAACTTAATAAAATGTATTTTGAACCTGTTCTTGAAGTGATCGTATGAATGGCGCATTAAAGAGAAAAGCAGGTCGTGACTGCATCAGGATGTGAAATTTAGTGGAGAACTTATGTGGTTAATACGAGACTATAGTTGTGGATAGAACGGAGGCATTAAACTTTCCGCTTGGTATGTATGCACCTAAAGGTATATCATAGATCAGAGACTATCGCAAACTTAACAGACTACAAAATGTAATGTAGGAAGCAGTTCCCATAAAATATTCCATTTATCCTTTTCCAGGCGAAGTAGTTTAGAGCATTTAATTTCAATATGACGTGTTGTTTTAAAGTTGAGGAAATAAAGAGCCCTTTCCATAACGCATTTAGCAGAGAGTAACCTCGTAAAGCGTTTTATTTGTAACACAAAGTTTGTTTGTAAATGTTTTGCGTTAGTTTTAAACAGTTCTGGACAGCATATATAATAATCCACTGAAACAGCGGTCAAAGCGATGAAACCGCGGACTATACAATCGTTTTGGATGTCAGCCGCGTGTTGTATGCCTAATATCATTGACTTAGTTATAAACTCATTATCAGTAAAAATCTAGAAATGACAGCTAACTGTGATAAAACCGTTAAATTTGCGGATCAAAGTTATTGATATTTTACGTTTGCTTTAAACAAACCTGATTTGATATTCATCTGGGTTTTAGTTGTTTTTCTTGAGTTAATACACAGTCAGTTAGAAACAAACATTTATAAATTATAAACAAAAACAAAACCAACAAAAAAAAATCCATTAAAACATAACTAACTAATCACTAGAGAAGATGTTCAGAATTCCTTCCTTGTACATAGAAGTAAGCTCGTAATATTTCGAAATTTTGATCATTGTTTGTAAAAGTTAGTCATCAGTAGTTGCTAAGATAAGACTGATTTTGGCAATGACATATCCTCTAGGAAAAGAGAGGGCGACTAGGCGGGTCTAGTACCTGCTAAGAAAGACTGATTTTGGGTAATGAGATCTCCCTAGAGGGTGGGTGGGTGGTCTTGCACCTGCTAAGATAAAACTGATTTTTCCAAATGACATACCCTCTAAAAAATAAAGGATAGAGAGTATATCATTTGGCAAAATCAGTCCTATCTGGGCAAGTATTGGCCCCGCCCACCCACCCTTTATTTTCTTCGAAGAAATGCGATTTGTCAATCAAATATTTTAGAAAGTACTAGCCCCACCCGCCCGTCCTGTATTTTCTTAGAGGGTATGCTATTTGACAATATCAGCCTAAAGTCCCTAGATATATAAAGTACCGCAATCCATTGTACCACTGTATTGAAAAGAGATGGCATGATTTTTGCCCAAAAATTGCGATGATATGTCAGCTGATCTATAAAATAATGTCAGGTATGGTCGACGAATTTGACGCGGCTGGTTAGTTACTAGGTGGTTTCATGAATAAATCTCATTAAAAAATTGGTTTTTTGTCATATTCTCCAATACCAAAATCTCACTATTTATTAAACAAATTCATTTTTTATAAATTCACAGTTGTAATAAATGTAAATAAGAGATGAAATCTATGCATGCACACACGATAGAAATCAATTGTTATGATATAATACACCCTGTTCCGATAAAAATGTGAATGTCTAACAATTACATTAATTACATTTGATGCAATCTGAATTTCAACTCACGGTTTCTGAAACAGAATTAGTTAACCTGAATTTTAGTTGATGCTTTTTTTGAATCTGAATTAGAATTTATATAATCTGAAATTTATTTCATCTTTTCTAAAATACAATTGGAACTGCTGTAGAGCCCAATTTCAAGTCCGATTCTTACTGTTTTTATATTGGACAGCATTCAAAATTGCAATATTTTAAAGCTGGCGGACAGTTTTCCCAGAAAATAGCGGATGATTGCGATACTTTATATATCCAGGGACTTTATATCAGCCTTATCTTGCCAAACACTAGCTCCGCCCACCCCCCTTTTGTTTTCTTAGAGGGCTAGTACCTCCTAAAATAAGACCGATTTTGGCAAATGACAACCCTCTGAGAAAAGAGAGGGTGGATGGACGGGGCTAGTACCTGCTAAGGTAAGAGTGATTTTGGCCATTGAGATACCCTCCCCCCAACAAAATAATACACCATGAGTACCTATGAGTTTACCGAATTAAAAAAAAACACTGCGGCACTCAAGACTTTTCCAAATTCATAAAAAATAAAACACTAGAAAAGTTCAAAAGATTTTTTCAAATTCATCCAGCAACAAAACACCAAATTCTTTTAAATTCATCCGAAAATAAAACAGCAGAAGACCTAAAATTAACTAATTAAGCGTAGAGGCCAGTGCCGAAGCCTTTGAAAATGGTAAAAAGTGAAAAAAATCAGAACAGGATAATACCTATTGGAAAAGGAAGAAAATATAACAAAAATAAAAGGAAAAATAATTTACGGGCGATCTGAGGTCGGGAAGTGGAAAAGGGTGAGCTTTAAAGGATAGAAAATGGTTTATCACGATTTCCGGCAAAACTGCAAGTCCTATCGCAAAAAGTTAAATAGCAAAGTTGTAGCTAATAAAAAGATCTACAACTTTTGTGTTTACACTTTTTTTATATAACCTCAAAATTTATGCGAAAAATGCAAATAACCGAGTTTTTGGTTTTTTATTTTTATCACCCACAAAAAAAAAAATTTTCACGAAATTTGGTGAAAACTTACCTATTTATGTCCCAAACTCACTGTAATTTTTTAGATTCAAAATATTTATTTTTTCTCCTTATTTTGATTTAATCGAAAAACCACCCTAATATTTAATCGAAAATTCTCACGTCAAAATATTTGTTTTTTTTTAAGTCGGTGTGCTTTTTGTTCGCTGAAATCTCTACTTTTTGATGGTGAAAAAAATATACATTACTATGGCAAATTTTCACAGGAAATGCAACAAAACAAAAAAGCTCCAATTCAAAAATTTGTTTTTTAATTATTATGTAAAATTTGGAGCTATTTAGTAAAATTTACACGTTAATTACTTGAAAAACGTAAGATTCCATGTTACATTGATAAATTAAAAAATTGCAAATCGAAATATACTACTATAATTAACAACCAAATAAGTTAATAAACTTAATACTTTATAAGACATCTACAATATTTTGTTAAAGTTGTAGGATAATTTTTAAATCATATACATAGATGCCTATTTATTGCTACTTTAAGATAACTTATATACCTGAATGGCCTCCGGAAAATTTTAGCCCATCAGAAGAATGAACAACATCGTTTATAAAAATACACGTGCATCATAAGTTACTTGAAGAGAATCGTGACGAATTGACTTATTTAAAAGAAACTTTTGGAATCTACAGTCACAAGGATTTTCCTGTAAACAAGCAGAAGAAAATGCTAATGCTGACATAATTAAGATCTCGATATAAACTGCCAGAGGTACTAATAAAACTGTCATACTTAGCTGTGGGTCAAGATATTGATTTTTTGCTCCTTTTGAATCAATTGAATTCAAATAATTATGACATTTATTTTCTCAAACCAGGTTCTGGAAATCTATTTTTCACGTCCAATAGTTTCAAATATGAATCTTTCAAAAATATCGTTGCATTCCTGTATTGTTTTTATGGTTGAGATACAACATCTGGGTTTGCCGGAAAAGGAAAGAAAAACATCGTAAATTCATTGTCTTCTAATATACAGGGTCATTATAAAATATTGTAGTCAACTCACCTATGAAAAACAAATGAAATTTTTCTCGTGCCGCTAATCACCAAAATGATTTGAACTGTTTTGAAATGTCACGAACGTCCAAACAAATCTGTCAGATGTGTCAAAAATTGAAATGCCCGGTTCGCGGTTTAATTTCATTTTAAATAGACACGAAAAGACGCCAGGCCAGAGCATTAAGGGTTGCAGTGTTATCGGGCATTTGTGAACGCCACTGCAATACATTTCAGTTTCAAAAATTGTAAATTGTCAGAAAAACGTTTAAGGGCTTTGTCATGAATTACACCTTGGAAAGTCGATTGGAGTTGAACAGAATAAATCATCTGGTCTGTTTTGCAAAGAAGCAATAATTTTTCAAATAATGAAATCCAAAAAGTGAGGTTAAGTTTGTCGAAACCAATGAACACGGTAATTATTTAAAAAATTACATTTTTATAGGTACCCTGAAGGTAAAAATTGTGAAAAATCACGTAATGGACAATGGCAGAGCAAGTCTTATCACAGTTAACGAACACTATGAGTACCTAATGAGTTTTTGCAGTAAATAATTTTGCCAAAGTTGTGATCCCGCGAAAGTTCTGTTTGTAAATTGTAAGGAATCGTCAAAATATTGGTGCAGACATGGTTTGTGACCGGTGCTTTTCTCTTGAAAAAACACAACTGAAATCCTTGATCTTCATCCCTACAATAGGTGAAAACTGCTATGTCCAAACATTACCTTCAGCTTTGCAATTTCTAGATATCTGAAACATGCCAGATCTGCATAACAGGAATGTCAAAGAGGTTCTACCCAAAACACGCCCACATGGCCATCCTAATATCAAGATTTTTCAAAATTTCTATAAGAAAAAAGATGAAAAAATTTCAGGAGCATAGTGTTAAGAGTTCTGTAGCTGATTATGAGATCTCTTGAAACAACAGAATGTTTAATAAAGATTTTTAACTTTCCTAATAGTAAAATTACAATTATTACTAAACAGTAAGTTGAAGTAAGTTTTAAATTAAGAGAATGCAACTAACACCGAAAGAAAAATGAAAGTTACTGAAAATAAAAAACTTTATTGCAGTACATACATACACTTTCTACATCTAATTTTGTTTATTGATCACATTCATTTACTTGAAAAAGTATCAGGCCTATGAATCGTCGTCTGCTAACCACACACCAACCTTCATTGCGTGTGATGGTGTTTCTTCAAAAGCGTGAGTATTTTCTATACACCAAATTCTGAAGTTCTGTCAGTTGACATAATAGCCTAACAGATGAAACCAGGCTTCATCAGAAAAGAACGACAAATCGAGAATCCCGTTATCGTCCATATCAGCTTGAAACCAACTACAATACCCAACGCGGCAAGGAAAATCAGCTGGTTGCAGCTCCTGAACCGACAAAATCTTGTATGGATGCATATGTAACTTCTCTTTTACGATTTTCTGACATGGGCTGTATGGTACTCCGGACAGTAAAGATTTTTGACAAAGCTTTATTCGGACTTTGTTCCATTCTCATCCTTAAATCTTCAACAACGTCTTCACTAACTTGAGGTCTCCCCGTCGGTTTTCACTTAGAAATGCTACCAGTGTCGTTAAATCTGGCCATAATTCGCCATATAGCGTCTTCAAAGATTCTTCATCAATGACAACAGAACATTTCACTAGATACTCGTTTTTAGACGCCTCCACAGAGTACACTCCATCCCCATCCTCATTTAACACCCCATTACGGTAATAGGCATGATGATTGCGCCAAAGAACTAAAAAACTCATTTGTAACACTGACCATAGTTATTCCTCTCTGTTCATTACCTGAGATTATTCCACAATGATCTGTAGTTTTGATAAAAACTGTTTTTTGAGACACTTATTAAAGTTCTAACAAAGGGGAAGACAGCAAAAATGAAAACAAGACAAGTCAATTAACGCACAAAGTGAGGGAAAACGTACCAGTACAAACGAAAAAATTATTGACATCTGACAGAATTTGATGAAGCGTTGAAACAGTGCAGCCGCTAATGTCAACTAATGTGGCGCTAAAAATAAAAATTCCAATATTAGTGTAATCCTTTCCACAAAACTGAAAAAGGCGGCACAAAATGTCACCAAAATCATGGCCTTCTTCGACTACAATATTTTATAATGACCCTGTATAAAATTCTAGTGTCACAGTGTGTGTAATTAAACTCCTCCGAAACGGCTTGACTGATTTTTATGAAATTTTCTGTCTATATTCGGTAGGTCTGAGAATAGATCGTAAACTATTTTTTATAGCCCTACATGATAAGGGTGGCTCACCCCAAAAAAAAATTTTTTATTTTTCGAACAAAATTTTTATTTTTATTTTTTAAGATGTGGCATCAAAAAGTACCACCTACCCCCATTTTGTAGTAACGATATTAGTATCTTTACTTTCACCCACAGATGCGCAATAGGGTTGCAAAATGGCTGTTGAATATAATCATTGTCGTACAATAAATTTTTATGCATAATTTATAATTTAATTTAATTATAATTTATTTACTTATTTTAATTTAATTTTTTATTTAACTACTAAACTATTCACTAGAAACAATTTATATGGCAAAACAACCTTTGCTGGGCTGCTAGTTAGACGATAAAAATTTGTCAAATTTGGCTAATATTTTTTATAAAAAACATGCAAACAAAGAAGATATCGCAAAAAATGGATTACAATTAATCAAATATATTTATAAATGTAAAAATGACAATATAACGCTGAACCAATTAAGATTTCGAAAATCAATTGGCAAGAATTAAATCATCTTTCATATTAACAAATCTCCCACCAACAGAAAGCCTTTGTTTCATAGATTTTCAATTTTTTAATTTATCGATGTAACATGGAATCTTACTTTTCTCGAGTAATTAAAGCGTAAATTTTAATAAATAGCTCAAAATTTTACATGATTAAAAAAAAATTTCGAATTCGAGTTTTTTCGTTTTTTGCATTTCCTGTGAAAATTTGCCATAGTAATGTATACTTTTTTTACACCATCAGAAAGTAGAGATTTTAACGAACAAAAAGCATACCGATTTTTTTAAAAAAGCAAACATTTTGACTTGCGAATTTTCGATTGAAAATTAGGGTGGTTTTTCGATATTAAATCGAAATAAGGTTGAAAAATAAATATTTTGAATAAAAAAAATTATAGTGAGTTTGCGACATAAATGGGTAAGTTTTCACCAAATTTAGTGAAAAATATTTTTTTTTTGTGGGAGATAAAAATAAAAAACCAAAAACTCGCTTATTTGCATTTTTCGCATAAATTTTGAGGTTATGTAAAAAAACTCTAAATACAAAATTTTATAGATACTTTTATTACCTAGAACTTGGCTATTTAACTTTTTTCGATAGGACTTGTACTTTTGCCGGAAATCGTGATAAACCGTTTTCTACCCTTAAAAGCTCCCTGTCTTCCACTTCCCGACCTCAGATCGCCCGTAAATTATTTTTCCTTTAATTTTTGTTATATTTTCTTCATTTTTCAATGGGTATGTATCATCCTATTCTAAATTTTTTTGTTCTTAAAAATTATCGGCCCTGGCCTATAGGGTTTTGAAAACTTTGACAATTTTTGATACGTCAAACATTTTTAACTGCTTACTATTCGGTTTTTGCTGATTTGTATTTTCGCTGTTTATCAGGCAAACATTGTTTGTTTGTCCAATGGAATTTTATCAAATTATTATTGTTAGAAAAACAACACAACCATTTCTTTGTACATTCTAAATGAACTGGTAATTAAACATGGGCGAGAGAAATATTAACTAAAAGTTTTATGACGAGTTATTGTGATAATACTGATAATGAATATGTTATTTAGTTATTAAATATAGCAAAAGAACCAAATTTAAAATCATTATAACTCCACCAGTGTGTAAGAAGGAATTTTTTTACTATTTTTCCCAGGGGTAGTCCGCCATTTTCTAGATACCCGGTATAACACATGAGCAGTTTTTTTTTTAAGTTTATCGTTATCTTCGCATGTTGGGGAAATTTTTCATCACGTGTTTTAAAAATCAATATCTCTTATATCAGGAAATTTCGTAATGCAGTTTTCACCACTGTTTTCAGCTTACAGAACTCAATGCGCTACCGAGGAAACATTGTCGATTTTTTTATAGGAAATGCAATACACGTGACGTATAGAGCTTTGTAAGCTGGAAATAGTGGTGAAAATCGGGTTCCGAAGTTTCCATAAATGAGATGGAATTTTAAAAATAAGTCATGAAAAATTTCATCAAAATTAAAAAAAAAATGATCTTGGTAAACTATTAAAAAAACTGCTTCTGCGTTATACAGAGTAACTTGTAGACAATTTATATTCAAATTTTCATAGCAATAAATTTGTTGACAACGGAGATATTGCATTCTGAAAATGTAATGAACAAGTGAAAAAGATAAAAATTCGCCTTAACTTGTAACTGTGAATATATAAAGCACCGTGTTAGTGAATTCATTATTTACAAACCCGCACTATGGAGCCTAAGGAGCTAACAACTTTGCACTAATGTCCAAAAATTTTAATGAGAGGCTTCAAACCTACGAAATATATACAAACTATATATCAGCTAGTTAAGTTTAAACAAATGTAATCAGTGTATGAAAAACTATCAATTATAGTTACTCATCAGTCATTACTTATAGCGTAATTCGTTTGCAGTAATTAACTAGTTTCTGTGATTCCTTACTCCAGCTGGGCCCGTTCCCCATATTCACCAGTAATACGAGGGTAATTTGATAAATTGTTAGCCCAAGTGCTTCCCACTATACAAAACAAATTTTTATTACCATGGTAACAAACAACAACTTAATAGAAATGGCACTGTCGAATTTGACGTAGAAAAATTCAAGCATTGCTGTGCACGAGAATTTTGAAAAAGTAATGTCAAATGTGAAAATGAGTTAAATTGAATATATATCGATTTATTAAGTACCTGGGTTTAAAGGGGTTAACGGGTAAAGAAATTTACGATGATATAAGTACTTAGAACGCTTGGTGAAGTTTGTATTTCTTATGCCACTGTAAAAAATTGGGTTGTTTCTTTCAAAACAGAAAAAATTTCGGTTGAAGATGAGGATAGACCAGGAAGACCGATTTCGGTATCCATTGCTGAAAATGTTGTTAGATCGTCGAATTTCCATAAATATTTGAGACACTAATAATAAAGATTTCATGTCAACATCATTCACGCCGATTTGGACTTGAAAAAAATTACGATCCAGAAACAAAGCAACAGTCCATGGAATGGAGACATTCTGATTCTCCAAGGCCCAAAAAGTTTCGGGTACTAAAACCTGCCGGAAAAGTACTCGTTTCAGTTTTTTTGGATTCGCGTAGGGTAATTATGGTGATTATCTAGAAAAACAGGAGAATACTACTTACACTTATTAACAATGCTGCGCGAAAAAATTGTGGAAACGAGGGGCAAAAAAACTATTCAAAGGGGTTCTGTTTTTGCAAGACAATGTTCCCGCATACAAATCGCGCATTGCAATGAATACAATTCATTTTTTGGGATTCAAAACACTTGACCATTCTACTTATTCTCCGGATCTAGTTCCCTCGGATTATTATCTCTTTCTTCGATTAAAAAAAAAACTTAAAAGGCCATACCTTTTCTTCAAACAACGAGATAATAGAGGCTGCGGAGACTTGGTTTGAAGAACAGGAAGAATATTTTTTTTTAAGAGGGATAGAAAAGGATCGCTGTAACAAGTGTATAGTTTTGAAAATGAATTACGTTGAATAAAAAAATATTTGGATTTTAAAATTGTTTTTTCTTCAGTGATACGGTAAGAACTTATCAAATTACCCTCGTACATCTAGACAGCTATCACAATTCTAAATATTTTTGAAGTGGCCTTAGATATCTACCTACAATAACTGTTTAAATACTTTTACAATATATATTATTAAACTATATTTTATATAATTAGGTATATCAAATGGGGGTGGTATATAATTTATTAGAAACGTACCATTTTGGCGGCCCCGCCGAGTTCATTGCAGTTGCCGCCAGAAGCGATTTTCAAATTGTTCTTAAAAAATTAAGTTTGTTTATAAAATTGCAATTAATAATAATAATGACTCAAAAATCAGTCGTTGAAAAAGACACACTTTTGGTTCACATTTATGTAAAAAAAAAGCACTGTTGCGGTTTACAGCTAATTAGGTCGTGATTAGATATAACAAAACTGGATGCACATATTTCTAAAAACTAATTGTAATTAATTCATTTTATTAATGAGTTAAAAGTTATTGTGCTTTCGAAAATAATGACACTCTTAATTATAGTTTATGGGCTGCTACATCTGCTACTTTGAAAATTTCAATTTAGACATGAAATTCGCGACAGCAAGAACCGGTGCTTTACAAATTTTCAGTCCCATTACCTTCAATTACATGATTCATGTTTTGCTAATTTAAATCGTTTTATTTTAGTGTAATATCTTTCCACT